TTTAAATAATCATGATTTGGATTTTAGGTCAAATCGTCCAGCCCTATTTTGTATATGCTGTTTGTTTTTATAAATAGCATAAAGGAAAACATCTCTTTACACAACCCTGTGTTGTAAAATAATAAATAAATCTACCTTGCACCTTGTTTTAGTACTTGAGTGAATGAGTTGCTAGAAGTCGTGCATCGGTGGAAGGTTTATCTGTGTCTGAGAGGACAGCTGAGATCCTGTTAACTAACTCAGAATAGCAGTGTGCAATGGAAACAGAGTAAAATGCATCATGCAGACTGTCACGGTCAGTTGGATCAAACAGACTACGTTCCAACTGCAGAATGAAGCCAAATCCAGCTGGCACTGCTTAGAGGAGCCATTAATCTTGTCACAAACAGGCTGGTTATTAAGGACTCAACCTGATGTCTTAATTGGAGTGTGGATCCAGTCAGCTGCTGAGTAAAAACCTGAATCAGCAGGAAGAAAATGAAGATATGTAGACAGAGAACTGTTTTCCAATACATAATTTACTTAATAACTACTATTTGTGATTTTGAGAGAAGGCTTTTTTCACAGAAACAAAAAGGGACTAAACAAAAAAGCGAAGTGAGAGTCACACACTGAACACACTGCCTGAAGAAGGAGAAACAGTTCAAACTGGACAGCCAGCAGTATAAGAAAATTTAAACATTTAAACAGCTGGTACGGTAGTGAAATCAGTGAGCCGTCAGAGTATTGAGTTTTTGATAAAGAGGAAGTGTGAAGACTTCTCACTTTAAAGCCTGTTTGCAGATCTTGGGGAGGACTACAGTGCATGCAAAAAGGGTTGTATAAAAGTATTTTGTGGCTTCAGAAAGAGTTGCATGAACTCTGATAAACTGCCTCAAGTGGCACACTTTTCAAAATACTGTCAAAGCCCTTCAGTGAATCTGCCCTGGAGTGTGTGTGTGTGGTCTCTGCCTTTATCCTCCAACATGTCTGAGGCTGTAGTTTGTAGCCAAACATCTCGCCGTCCCAAATTTTAAAAACAGAGACAGTACAACAGCAGAAAAAGTCTCCTGAACTGTAAAGCTGAGTTTCTTTTTCTAGCGCTTCTCTCACACATGAACCAATTATATAACAGCATCAGGCTTCTTGTAAACTCAGCAGCCTTGCAAATGATGCTAATGTTGCTGTACTCAGCCGAGGGGAAGATGCTCAAGCAAGTGCAGAAGTCGGAGCGTGTACATTACCAGCCAAGTGTCCTCAGTCGCATCAGTTAAACTGTGCGTCTGTGTGTGTATTGATGAGCAGGCTAATGAAGCAGTTGGCTGGCTGGTTAGCCGGCTGGCAGGACTTCACACAGTGAGCCTTGTTACAGACTGAGAGGCTAAACAGAGCGTGACTGATGATCGTATCTGACGACAGCCAACTTTATCACACCAGGAAGTGTGTAGGTGATGAGAAGCCTGCATTTAAATTCAGCCACTTAGGTGCCAGCGAGCAGCCGGCACTGAAACCTCAAAATTTATGTGTTCACCAGCTGCAACAGCTCCGTCAGCCCAAAGTTCCCGAATCACTTTCACCCTTCATCCAGATGGCTAGATCTTTGGCAGGAATTGGATGAGAAAACTTGGCTCTGGCAGCAGCAAATAGTGCTACTGTCCAAATGTTTCGAAAAATAATTACCGCAATAATCTGGAGACATCATTACAGTCACCAGCTGCCCTAATGATGAGAAACATTTGCTCTAGTAACACGTGAATGACATTTGAAATGGAAGCCAACATATTTACAAGTTCCTAATCTGCAAATGCAGTTTGTAATCACTAAATTAAAAGGCATCCTTATCAAATGTGTATCAATGTTTTCCATTTATTTACAAAAATGAAAGTCTATTGATATATTGTTCTTTTAGAGTTGATATAATTTATTAATTTATCCATCGACAGAAGATAAATCAGCAACTATTTTCATAGATTAATGTTCTTGGCAGTTTGAAACAAAAGTGCCAAACATTTGTCTGTTCCAGCTGAGGCTGTGCGATATGACGATATTGCTTGACGACAGAAAAACATCTATGGTTTACAGTTATGCTCTATCGTTTATTTGTGTGTCGCAAATTCCACACTTAACAGTAATATTATCACAAGGGCTTTCACGACGCTTACGTTAGCTTTAAGTTGGATATTCGACAGACAATTATCCAACTTAAAACTTCACCGCAGCAACCCTTCTTCCCTGCAACACTCGCTGGTGTTGCAGGGAAGTAATTTGCGCTTAGAATAAACAAGACATGCTGTTGTTGTTGTGATGTTAGCTATAGCAGTAGAAGAGTTGTGAGTATCGCAGTCTGGAGCTGTTGTGTTGGTTCTTCGTCAGTTTGCTAACACACAACCTAGCAAACATTAGTTACATTACTCTCTTTAGATCATGGAATTGTATTTATCCAGAATCGCATACCCCGCCTTTATGATGCAGTGAAATAAGACGCATTCATTGAATTTACAAAAAAAATTCTATATTAAAATTACCTATATCGGGATATGAGATTTTAGTCACATCGCAGAGCCCCAGTTCCATCTTCTCAAATGTGAGGATTTGCTGCCCATCTTTGTCATACATTATAGAAAACTGAATATCTTTTGGTTTTAAATGTTGGACATTTTACAGATTGATCGTTTAATCTTGAATGTAATCTGCAGATTAGTGGTCGACTGATATGGGTTTTCTGTACATGGTTATCTTAGCCAGTAACATGTTGTTTCATATAGAATGTTTTATTACTTATTAGTGATACAGAAAAACACACTTTTAGTTTTATGATGTAGATTTCAAAACGTGGCCGGGTGAGTGGGGTAGGATTTGTCAGAAGTAGCTGCATTATTCTCTACTCGTATGACAATATATGTTTAACCCTATAGCTAGTAATGGTTTTAGATTAGATCTGCTGATATGTGAGTGCAGGTACCAGCTGATACCGATCAAAATGCCAGATATTGGCCTATCACTACTGCAGATTAAATCAATTATGAATATAATCGTTACTTGCAGTTCTAATTTAGTTTAACAACATAAAAGTTAAAGTTAAATTTGATAATTTGCTGCCTGAGAAGCTTGAACCAGTGTATTTTGAGTCTTTCTTAAAAAACAACTCAAGGGACACTTAAAGGTTAATCGATTAATTGACTGATCTTTGCACCTCTAAACTAATTATTTCAGTATTTTGGAATGTTGGTTGGACAAAAACAAACAATAGGTCAACATTTCTACTTTTTTCAAACATTTCATGGACTAAACAAAGAACTGATAGATCAATCAATGACTGAAAACAATGAGTTGCAGCCCTTTGCAAATAAATATTTTTTTTCCCAGCATGGCATTGCTAGTCTAAAACAAACAATGTGTAAATTACACTTCTTATTAGTAACAGTGCCAGTAACCATCCTGGCATAAAATACAATGAAATACTGTACATGCAGCAGCGTCACAGTAAATAAACAAAATCAAGTCACACAGCAGGAGCCGTTGGTGGCTGCCGGTGCAGCGGACTGACTGATGAGCTGTTATCCGCTGCTAATTTCCCAGCCTGTTGTAAGGTGTAAATAGGTTAAGCAGTGTTTATCACTGCGGGGGCTGACATGGGTTTGACACGCTGCCAACATGGTGACGAAGCTGATCCATCCATCAGCACTCACACAAGCGCAGCATGTTTGAACCACTGCCAGATGAGAAAGATTCAGACACTCACTCCCTTATAAAAGCACATTCCACAGTTAATATTTTTCTGTTCTCACCCATCGCATGTTCAGTTTCTCCCTCTCTAAGCAGAGCAAATCCAAACTAATCCTGACTTACAGTAGTAAACACCCGAATGAAAATGATTCTGGGTTACTGTGCCACAGAAAACGGCTCGACTTCATGTTGTCTGTGGTTTGTAACCGTCCCCAGGTTCACTTCCCCTTTACAAAGCCACCAGCTACAACTTTTAAACCATGTTTCCTATAAGACTGCAAAAGCTCGAAGTTATTAACAATGCTGAGCTCTTGCATTATGATATATTTTTTCTAAATGTATAATACCAAAAATCTTTAAGCTCAAGAAGTGGAGCGTCGTCGCATTCAAACTCTCTGACACTGTTCACTCCAACTTAGTGATGCTATTTTGATGTCACTTAATGAAGAGATGAACTTAGATGGAGGCTTCAAGTCTTGAAAACACATCTCACAGAAGTTTGATAGTTCAGAGCTCATGAAAACTAGTCTATAGAGATTTGGACATTTTATAGATTCAGAGATTCATCAAAATGTAACAATTGTTTGTCAACTTTGAAATGAACAAATTCAGGATTTAAATGACCATAATTGATCAGGACCAGTGGTTTACGCTCTAATTTTCAAATTTTGTGAGGACAGCATAAGGGGAAATAAGCAGGAGCCAACATTAATCATCTTACATTTTCTTTCTCTCACCTTTATCTCTTTCTCCACACAGATAAAGGTGGTCCTGAAACTTTAATAATCCACACCACCACCTCCAACTGGCATGAGTCATGTAGTTAGTAAGATGTTGCTCTGGGGAGGCCTGACCTCATCGTGCAAGACATGACTCGCACTAACGTTACACTAACATACCTCAAGTAGGAAGGAACAGTAGCAGAAACAGAGAGACGTTGCATCAAGAGCAGTAACACACTCTTCACACAACTTCCTTTAAATGTTGGACTTCCAAATAAACAAACGCATCCAAACCACAAACACTAATGGGAACCAGTGACTAACAGCATGGAATCCGGTGTCAAACCGCCTGTGAATAGAAATGTAAATACAGTCTAGAACAAGTTCTGGGCCTGAGCTGATGACAACAATCCTGCCTCAAACTTCCAGGTACTGCACCAAGCAATCGGTGTTGTTTGAAGGGGGAATGCCAGTCACAAAAATGCTTATTCAAGCGTTGCCTATAACTTGCTGAAACGAAACGCATGCTCCCAAGATTAAAAAAAACAAAAAACAAAGCAGCGTCTCTCTCACCTTTGTCGCGGCTCTGAGGACACAGAGTTACAGCTCTGAACTGACAGCAATGTGGAAGATTTCCGCGGTCCCATCGGCGACGGCAGCAGGCTGACGTTGGACGGGGACGGCGAGAGCAGGTTACTGTTCCCCGGTGGGGGGAACGAGCCTCTGCGGCACTCCACCAGCACCTCCGCGCTCCCCACATCGTTGAACCCCGTGTCCGACGGAAGGACCAGGATAGGCGGTATGTTGAGGAGTGTCCTCTGTGCCGGGGAGGGACTGACGTTCCCGCAGCTCACGGACGCTGCCAAACTGGAGAATGTCCCGTAGCTGCTGTTTCCCAGCTCCGGGCACAACCCGGTCGGTGTCGCCACCGCAGAGCCGAAGTCGGCTCCCTCCAAGTCGGTCTCTTTGTGCTGGCGGCTTCCTGCATTGTCGGCTGAATTACTCTGGTCGTTAACTGGTCGTCCGTCCAGGGAGATGTTACTGAGAAACAAAAGAGCCGCTTGTCTCCGGCGAGAGTTCTCCCGGTTCCTCCGACTGTGTTCCCTGTTACTGTGCGTTTTCTTGCCGCTAGCAGCGGCCGTTATCGCAGCGCTGTGCGGGCCACAGGCAGCAGCCGCCGCCGCCGCCATGGTCTCTGTCCCACCGAGGAAGTCAACTGAAGGCTCGGCTCGAGACCCGCAACTATCAAATCCCTTTTACCCGGTGCGAGACCGCTTTACGCCCACCTCAGCTCTCATTGGTCCACACGCTAATACGTAACGACGTTCCTTGAGTAACTGCACTGTGCAACGTCCCACCACTGAAATATAATGACCATAAATAAAGCCTACTATCATCGATTTTATATATATATATATTTATTATAAATAAATGTTTCAAAACAGAATATTTAAATTAGGCTATATTTGCTCACCCTTTTTCCTCTTTGTGCTCATCCTCTTCTTAAAGGGAATAAAAGTTTTTCTATTTGTTACTATTACTGCATAATACGTTGTTTTCCTGCCTTGTGGGGTATTTGCAGGCTTCTGAAAATGACGATTATTAATAGCAGTAAAAGTACAAATACAATAGTGTATACAACAATATTGTCAAAAGTATTTTTTGACATTGGGCACCCGGGATTTTTCCCTACTACTTAGTATCAGACAGTAAGTTACTTTAAAACCCTCTACATCAAGTAGGAAAAGAAATCCTTCAGCATATTACAAATCGAGAAATATATAACTAAGCTACGCTGCCTATTTGGCATGTGTTAAAATTACATTCATAGGAGGTGTCTGGAAATTTCTCATTCTGATGAAATGTTTGTGGCTTTTATTGTAGCTAGTTGAGAAGTAGTGTCTGTTTTTTTTTTTTTTTTAGATAATCATGTCAAATGGTGTTTGTATCCCGGTGCACTCTGTTACTTGTTCTGTTAATTCACTAAAACTGTCTTGTTTTTAAAGCTTTAGTCTGGGAGAACTGATACATAATAATAAGCCCACTTGATGTAATACCTACTGAAAGTAATAGATTCTGTTGGGCCCCATTTGATCTCTGTTTTCAACAGCTCCCTATCTACTGGTTGTGTCCCTGATTATTTTAAAACGGCTTGCGTGAACCCACTTTTAAAGAAACCTGGTTTAGATCCCTCCCTCCCACATAATTTTAGACCAATTTCAAAACTGCCTTTTATTGCAAAGATTCTAGAAAGAATTGTGTCCAAACAGCTGCTCACTGTACTGGAAAATAACAAATTATTTGAAAAGTTTCAGTCTGGTTTCAGGAAGTACCACAGCACTGAGACTGCCCTGCTTAAAGTCATCAATGACCTTTTAATGTCTGCTGATGAAGGCATGTGCTCAGTCCTGGTACTCCTGGACCTTAGCGCTGCTTTTGACACCATTGATCACAACATCATGTTAGACAGACTGAGGCACTGGGTGGGGATCTCTGGTACCGCCCTAGAATGGTTTTCATCTTACCTGTCAAATAGGAAGTTTTGCGTGTCTGTAAACAACTATGTCTCCTCATTCTGTCCAGTTAAATATGGTGTGCCTCAGGGGTCGGTCTTAGGACCCGTTTTGTTTTCCTTGTATCTACTTCCCCTTGGACATATTATCCATAAACATGGCATTTCTTTTCATATTTATGCTGATGACACACAAATGTACTTGCCCGTCAGATCCACAGACCCTGGAATGCTGAGTTCACTTAACAACTGCCTTTGTGAAGTTAAAAAATGGATGTCAAATAATTTCCTCCAGCTGAACTCAGACAAAACAGAAACCCTGGTCATTGGCTCCCAGCAGATGGCAAATCAAATACTGCCATCTGCTGGTTCCCTAGTAAATCACATTAAGCCTGTGGCAAAGAACCTTGGTGTCTGGTTTGATAGTAATTTAAATTTCGAGCAGCACATCACAAAGCTTGTTCAATCATGTTTTTATCAACTTAGAAATATAGCAAAAATTCGATCTATGTTAATTTTTAAGGACACCGAGACCATTTTACACGCCTTCATCTCATCACGCCTGGATTATTGCAACAGCCTTTTCACCTGTTTAACCCAAAAATCTATTGATCGACTCCAGACTGTCCAGAACTCAGCTGCCAGGCTTTTAACCAGAACAAAGAAATATGACCACATTACTCCTATTTTAGCTTCATTACACTGGCTCCCAGTATGTTTTAGAATTGACTCTTCATGGCCTCTCGCCTTGTTATATTTCTGACCTTTTAGTCCCATACACACCAGCACGTACCTTGAGATCCTCGGGCAGAGGTCTGTTGTCTGTTCCAGAGTCTCGACTGAAAACTAAAGGGGACAGAGCGTTTGCTGTCAGGGCCCTGAGGCTCTGGAACAGCCTGCCCGAGGAAATCAGATCGGCTGAGTCAGTGAACTTCAGAAAGTCCCTTCTTAAAACATACTTTTATAGGAGAGCCTTTCCTGATCTTATTTGACTTTATTTCATCCCTTTTATTTTATTGTATTTTACTAATTTTATATTAATTTTTCATGCTCTTATCTTGTTTTTTTGTATTATTCTTTACACTTGTTAAAGCACTTTGTAACTTGTTTTTGAAAAGTGCTCTACAAATAAAGATTATTATTATTATTATTATATTATAATAAAATATTTTAATCAAATCTGATGAAATTAATGTATTGTGTTTTGTCCTTGTTAAATAAACAATCATCAATAAATAAATTAATAGTCCTGTCCTATTATTATATATCAAACTGCACATTAAGGATCAGTGTTGGATTTTCATTTTAACCGTTGTCTTCACTTTGAAGTGGTGTTTTTTGTTTTGTTTTTCTGTTGGGTGTTTATTTATTAAAATTTTTTATTTTATTTTTTTTCTGCAGTGTCTGTGAAATTTCTCTGTGCATCTCTGGAGTATCAGGGCTGCTGAGGCATTAGCTGAGCTGTCACTGCAGCAGCTTTGATTGGCTGTTGGCTTTTTGTTATGAAACCATGGTGGATTTTCTCTGCAGTGATCCCTGCAGTGACACCAACCAGGGCTGAGTAGGACAACCACACTATAATCCCTGCAGGCTGAGAGTTTGTTATTGTACACCCCTGACCCCCGACATCTGCAGAGCAACAAATGAACTAAAACTGACCCTCCAGCTCAGCTGGAACAACAGCAGGACAGAAATCCAATAGTGACATCATTTAATTCAGTTTGATCTCACTGGAAATTTTTCGTCTGCATTATGGCATGGCTGTTTATGTATTATAATACATGTTTTTTTGTCTACATGTGAAGGTGTCAGTTTGTTAATGTTGATCTTAGGTGTTGTCTGTTGTGTTTATGGCCACACCCAGCTGTGATGTAGTTGCCTGGGTGTAATTACATTTTAAATAGCTATTTCTTCTACCTGTGTGTGTGTGCATAATATATAACAAGACCAAAAATTACATTACAATGCATTTTAAACATGTAATATATGTATATTTGTATTTTTTATTCCAATTGATTTCATTTTAATTCAATTTATTTATAAATTTATTCACAACAGTAGTTATTTCATTGCACTTGTCATATAAAGCAGGTCTAGACTGTACTCTTTATATTATTTACAGAGACCCTACAATTAATATATATCATGCAATATATCCAATATGAAGTATAACTGTCATAATATATCAGATTTCAATTAAGCAAGTAAGAAATATTTTTACAATAATACACAGATTGAGATGAAATTGAACAGATATGCATCAATTATTTAAAAATCTAAGAATAATTATTATATCTTAAAATGAGGCATTTAAATAAACATTACTTTAAATATAAATTTTAATCAAATTGAAACCTGAATAACAAAAAACATAAAAATATATTATGTAGAGGGACAAATATTATGACTCTGACAGAGCTTGTTATGCTGTAGGAGAAAACAAAAACTATTATTTGACCTAGGACCCACGATGACGCAAGGCTGCATAAAACAAACAGAAGGGGATTGTGTGTGTGTGTGTGTGTGTGTGTGTGTGAGTGAGTGTGTGTGTGTGATGATAATACCATAGTAAATGCCGCCACATGGATGATTGCAGAGGTTACAGAGCTGTAATCCGATGATGAGGATCAAGTTTATACAATGTGTCTGCTGCCCCTGACACACACACACACACACACACACACACACATACACACACATACACACACACCAATACACGAACCAACATTGCCCTAAAACTACAACTGACAAAAATGACCTCAGAGTTTATCTCCTGTCCTGATAATAGAACTGAACATCATCCCATTTCCTGGTATCATTTTGACTGATATGAACGCTAACCATAACCTTTGACATTTAGACACGAAACAAGAAGTAGCTACTATATTGCTGTTTGTCTACAATGAGCCCAAACATTCCTCCAACACAAAAGAAAGCTTGTCATTATTTTCCAGGGGCGTGGAACAGCTTTGTCAAAGCATATTTAGAATTTTGATTGCGTGGGATGTGTGTTGTAAATCTGTTTCACACAGCGTTAGTCTATTACATAATGAGAGCAGGGGGACTAACATGACTCGGGTGAAGCCCATGGGTGTACTGACTCTGTCTCTCTCTCTCTCTCTGATGTTCAGTGAGGCTGGCAGTGGAGAGGACCAGGGGGCAGAGAAGCACTGCACCATGGGAAGGTTATGATTCTGCCGCCAGGATAATGGGTCAATGCAGCATTGGGAGAGAGAGGGAGACACACAGGGAGAAAGAGAGAGAGAGATTTTGGGTAAATCCATATATCTATCTTCTGCGTAATAGTGGGCCTTTAGCTCAGTAGCAAGGATGTTAATCAGCCCTTTATCCTCAGTTGCCTCCGTGTGGTGACTGTTAGGTATTGCAATCCCTGCAGAAAATACCATTTTACAGAAGCTTTGAAAATTATTTTGATTATTTCATTTGCCTTGTGCACATTTTGTGATATAAGCTGAATCCAGAATTGATTCAAAAGTAGACTGATGATGATTATGATTTTTCTTACAAATTCCTTAAAGACTCAGAGTCTTTGTTTATTACTTTTGAAGCTGAAGTACAATAACTGTACTGCTCATTCTGAAAAAGTCTTGTTTTTCAGATTTCGTTTGTTTCTGACAATTTTGGCACAAGTTGACATATAAACTCTGATCTTGGTCTTTGGATCTGGAGGATAAAACTTGAAAAAGTCTGGTTTTCCTTTTCCTGTGATTTACAGAGATGATCAGACTGAGATTTCATTGATT